AAACGCTTTCATTGGGAGGATAAGGAATACATTTTATATCACAGCAATTAGTGCGAAATGAAAGGGGAGAATTTCGTGATCGTAGGATGTTACATCTTGGTGTTTATAAATACTGTAAAAGGTAAGAAATGTTTATCGTTAACTATTTTTTCGTAAGATAAATACATATAAAAGTAAAATAAAAAATAAAACAATTTTTTCGAAATACTAGTCGCATTTACCTGATTGATGACTACTTATCAAATTGCGAAGATTGAATACATTAAGCTGAATTAAATTGTTGTTGGTGTCTGTAGTATCGTGTTAACTAGTATTGAGTTTTTGTAAACAATTATTCCGAATATAAAGCCTAAAAGAGTTAAACGCTCGCTCTTCACACACTAAACACCTGCAGGTTTGAACGCCTGCAATTTGTTATTATTGTTCATTGAGGCTGCTCCCCTTCGCTGGAGTTTTCAAATTATCAAGTTTAAAAAAATTATTTAGCGTCTCGTACTGATAAGAACCATAACAAATCATATATCATATTAAAGCTGTATGACTGAAGAATAAGTCTATGAAGTTCGTCTAGCAAAATATTAAAAATTATTAAGTGTACTTTCATTTTTGTTCATTTTTATGTGTAAAAATTCATCAAGTGCATCAAGCTTTATAGTAGCTTATTCTCGATTTAAAATTCGTGATTTTTCAGTGAATTTGAACGATTAGAATGAAACAACAAGCGTGACATAGGAGAGGTCCTTAAAGAGACAATATGGATTTTCATTATGTAACAACATTTTCAGGGGTATGATATTTTTATGAACAATAGTCCGCCAGGGGCCAATTGCTATAGGAACGGCATTTACCCCTCTTGGTGCTATTCATGGCCAGAAAATCCGGATATTTGAGCCCGCAATCGCAGCGGTACTTCGCATAAATGCATAAAATCATGTTTGTAAATTTCACAAAAGAAATGTGTGGATCAAAAAAAATATTTGAGAATAACATTTCATCTGTTGGAAAGATTCCATAGATGAATTCGTAGAGGGAAACTATTCTTGATTCCACTGTAGGAAATCCAAATAAATCCAATATTGTTAACAGCGTCCTTTTTGACAATTAATTTTCCTTTCGTCGTCTCCCTTTGGCCTTGTATCTCATGGTGCAAATTCGCGAAGAAGCGAAATTTCACCGTAGCTGATCGTGTTCCTTTACATGTCACTGATATTCCATAGATCATTTCTCAAAGTCCACATATTGAGGTAGGAACACAGCGATTTTCAGCTATTTTGAAGACGATCAACAGCGTCCTTTTTGGTACTAGAAATCATACAATTTGAAAACACTTAAAGACGCTGAAATGGCTGGCGAAGACGCGTGTTTCATGCGAATACTTGGCCTGATCTTCCATTTTATTATCCATGTTTGGTACCAAAATAAACCTTAGAAGCATGGCTTTCAGACTGGGGCTGCTTTAATTTTGGAGGTTTTTACTGGCGCCTTGCGCGCACTGGTAAATAGCGCAGATAGCGGGAAATACGAACGAAAGATAGGCCAATCAAGTCTAGTGTAAACAATGTCAGACCTTTTAAATTCCTTAGAAATGTACAAGTATAAACAAAAGATCACAATATCAACTGATGATCATTGTTTAAAATACCTGAGAGAAACGTGTGTTCCAGCAAATAATAATATTTACACTATGAGCATT